GGGGGTACACCTGCGTGGGGTACACCTGTGTGGGGTACACCTGTGTGGGGGTACACCTGCGTGGGGTACACCTGTGTGGGGTACACCTGTGTGGGGGTACACCTGTGTGGGGTTCACCTGCGTGGGGTATACCTGTGTGGGGGTACACCTGTGTGGGGTACACGTGTGTGGGGTACACCTGTGTGGGGTACACCTGTGTGGGGGTACACCTGTGTGGGGGTACACCTGTGTGGGGGTACACCTGTGGGGGTACAACTGTGTGGGGTACACCTGTCTGGGGTACACCTGTTTGGGGTACACCTGTGTGAGGTACACCTGTGTGGGGTGCACCTGTTGGGGTACACCTGTGTGGGGTACACCTGTGTGGGGGTACACCTGTGTGGGGTACACCTGTGTGGGTACACCTGTGTGGGGTACACCTGTGTGGGGGTACAGCTGTGTGGGGTACACCTGTGTGGGGTACACCTGTGTGGGGTACACCTGTGTGGGGTACGCCTATGTGTACACCAGGTGTGGGATACACCTGTGTGAGGTACACCTGTGTGGGGTACACCTGTGTGGGGGTACACCTGTGTGGGGTACACCTGTGTGGGGTACACCTGTGTGGGGTATACCTATGTGTGGTACACCTGTGTGGGGTACACCTGTGTGGGCTACACCTGTGTGGGGGTACACCTGTGTGGGGTATACCTATGTGTGGTACACCTGTGTGGGGTTATCTCGAGGTTATCTTGAGATGATTTCGGGGCTTTTTTTTAGTGTCCCCGCGGCCCGGTCCTCGACCAGGCCTCCACCCCCAGGAAGCAGCCCGTGACAGCTGACTAACACCCAGGTACCTATTTTACTGCTAGGTAACAGGGGTATAGGGTGAAAGAAACTCTGCCCATTGTTTCTCGCCGGCGCCTGGGATCGAACCGAGGACCACAGGATCACAAGTCCAGTGTGCTGTCCGCTCGGCCGACCGGCTCCCTATCCCTCCCGGGGTACACCTATGTGTACACCAGGTGTGGGATACACCAGGTGTGGGATACACATGTGTGGGTACACCTGTGTGAGGTATACCTGTGGGGTACACCTGTGTGGATACACCTGTGTGGGGTAACCTCACTCTACAACCCGCTCTCGCACAAGACAGCACATATATGACTTGTTGCTTATAGTCACCATTTCGCTTATAAATAAGTACATGTGACATATTCCTTATTTTTGTGACATGTGACAAGCCTTATTTTTTTCACGGCACTAACTTTTCCTGTCAGTTTTATTAAACAATAGAGATTTTATACAAAATTTGACAATATCCAGAGTTACTTTACAATTTATTTAAATATTTTAGCTTTTTTTTATTTTTTTTATAAAACTAATATCAATATAGGTATAGGTTCAGTACTAATTGTAATATCTTAACATACTAAGAAGGTTAGGTTGTGGTTTTCTAATCAGCATTTCAAGGTAAACTCATATATTCACAATAAATTAGTATGTCACATATGCACTTATTCATAAGCAAGATATTGACTATAAGCAAGTGCGAGAACGGGTAGCACTCTTCGATTCCTCTACCCCCTTAATCGTAGGGAGCGGCGCGAAAGGTATATATATTATATATGTATATATGTATGTATATATATACATGTCGTACCTAGTAGCCAGAACGCACTTCTCAGCCTACTATGCAAGGCTCAATTTGCCTAATAAGCTAAGTTTTCATGAATTAATTGTTTTTCGACTACCTAACCTAACCTAACTTTTTCGGCTACCTAACCTAACCTAACCTATAAAGATAGGTTAGGTAGGGTTGATTAAGTTCGGTCATATATCTACGTTAATTTTAACTCCAATAAAAAAAAAATTACCTCATACATAATGAAATGGGTAGCTTTATCATTTCATAAGAAAAAAATTAGAGAAAATATATTAATTCAGGAAAACTTGGCTTATTAGGCAAATCGGCCCTTGCATAGTAGGCTGAGAAGTACGTTCTGGCTACTAGGTACGACATTATATATATATATATATATATATATATATATATATATATATATATATATATATATATATATATATATATATAGTGTGTGTGTTTTGGTGCAGAGAATTAAAAAAATTAAGTTTTAGGAAATAAATGAGATGCCAGTGCTGGCGTCAAACGCCACCGGACTGCCGTCAACTCTAATAATTTGCATTAAGTATATTATATTCCCTTCAGGCGACTTTCCCCTCCCATCAAATCTGCCCAGTAGTGGACCGGGGCCCCGCAGAGCCCAGTCTCTTCCGATTTGACTATTTCTATGTGGGTATTGAGCAGAGAGTGTAACAGTTACCCCAAAGGTAAAATATATATATTTGCGTACAAAAGGCGCAGCCTAACTCATTACTGTGGCGCCAGAGGAAACATTTGTATAAATAAATCTTTTCTTATTTGAATTTATTTATTTTAAATTAAATTTTTATTAAGTTTATCTTGTACCGTATTATTATTTTTTTTTGAATATTACAAAATAATTCTTATCAGTCGTTTTGCAATAAAAGACAAGAGAGAAAAAATACGAAAGGGAGGAAAGGGAACGCGAGGTAAATATTGATATAGAGCGGATAGCAATAAATGACAAGCCAAAGAGGGAGAGAGAGAATAGATATTAAACAAACTAGGAGGAAAATAGAACGGAAGAGAATTGGTAGAGGGAAAGAAAATAAATGGAGGAATAGAGAGAAAATAATGGATGTGAAGGAGCCCTTGAACTCGACCCAGGAGTAAGGCAAAATTGGGCACAAAGAAGTTAAGTTCCTGCTCCTGGTTCAAGAGGAAGGAACACACAAAAAGAGAGGGAGATGAAAGACTTACTGAAATACGCACACGCACGCGCGTGTATGCATATGCCCACACGCATATATACGTACAATTGCATAAACATACGCTCAATTACATTCGTAGATGCGCAAATGCACTTTTGCGCCCCCTTCCCCTTCCCCCCTCCACACACACACACACACACACACACACATAACAGGTCATTGGAAACAGGAGACCTACAGGAGACAGGCAGGAGTAAAAGATAATGTGCTCCAGTGGATAAGGGAGTAGCTAAGCAACAGGAAACAGCGAGTAACTGTGAGGGGAGAGACATCAGAGTGGCGAGATGTCACCAGCGGGGTCCCTCAGGGCTCTGTACTTGGACCCATCCTGTTTCTAATTTATGTAAACGATCTTCCAGAGGGTATAGACTCATTCCTCTCAATGTTTGCTGATGATGCAAAAATTATGAGAAAAATCAAGACAGAGACTACAGAACGACCTGGACAAACTGTAGGAATAGTCTAGAAAATGGCTACTAAAGTTCAACTCAGGAACGTGTAAAGTAATTAAAACAGGCAAAGGAAGCAGGAGGCTGAGCACAAGGTACCATCTGGGAATTGAAATTCTGCAAGAGTCAAATAGAGAAAGAGATCTTGGGATTGATTCACATCGAACCTGTCCCCAGAAGCCCACATTAAAAGGATATCATCAGCGGCATATGCTAGATTGGCCAAAAGAAGAACTGCCTTTAGAAACTTGTGTAAGTAATCATTCAGGACCTTGTATACCACTTATGTCAGACGAATCCTGGAGTATGCAGCTCCAGCCTGTAGTCCATACTAGTTAAACACAAGACAAAGTTAGAGCAGATTCAGAAGTATGCCACCAGACTAGTCCCAGAACTTAGAGGTATGAGCTACGAGGAAAGGCTATGAGAGCTAAACCTCACGTCCCTGGAAGACAGAAGAGTAAGGGGAGACATGATCACCACCTACAAAATTATCAATGAATTTGACAGGGTGAACAAAGATTAACTATTTTGCATGGGTGGACCACGAACAAGGTGGACACAGGTGAAAACTTAGTTCCCAAATGAGCCACAGAGACATTAGAAAGGTTTTTCAGTGTCAGAGTAGTTAACAAATGGAATGCATTAGGCAGTGATGTGGTGGAGGCTGACTCCATACACAGTTTCAAATGTTGATATGATAGAACCCAGTAGGCTCCAGAATCTGTACACCAGTTGACTGACAGTTGAGAGGCGGGACCATAGGATCAAAGCTCAACCATAGCAAGCTAAACTAGGTGAGTACACATAGGGAGCCTCGTGGCTGAGTGGACAGCGCTTGGGGAATCGAAGTCCTTATGGGCCGGCTTCGATTCCCGAGCGAGCCGGAAACAAATATGAAGTTTCTTTCATCCTGATGATCCTGTCCACCCATAAGTAAATAGGTACCTGGGAGTTAGACAGCTGCAACGGGCTGCTTCCTTCGGATGTGCGTGTGTTAGAAATATATGTAGTAGATATAAAAAATAGATTGGTTAGAAAGGCGGGGTCCAAGAGCTAATTGCTCGATCCTGCAGACTCGTATAGTAAATAAATACACAACAGTTCTCCTTGTAGTGGTCGCGTGCGGGTAACAGTGTAGGTACCACCTCCCAGGGCTCAAACACCCTCACGCATCCCAGGACACGAGCAAACACAGGTTCACTGGGCGCCCCAGACATAGGCCCTCGTCTCCCCACACACCCTACACCCCCAGACACACGCCCTCGCCTCCCCCACCCACCCTACACCCCCAGACACACGCCCTCGCCTCCCCCACCCACTCTACACCCCCAGACCCACGCCCTCGCCTCCCCCTCCCACCCTACACCCCCAGACACACGCCGTGGCCTCCCCCACCCACCCTACACCCCCAGACACACGCCCTGGCCTCCCCAACCCACCCTACACCCCCAGACACACGCCCTCGCCTCCCCCACCCACCCCACACCCCCAGACACACGCCCTGGCCTCCCCCACCCACCGTACACCCCCAGACACACGCCCTCGCCTCCCCCACCCTCCCTACACCCCCAGACACACGCCCTGGCCTCCCCCACCCACCGTACACCCCCCAGACACACGCCCTCGCCTCCCCCACCCACCCCACACCCCCAGACACATGCCCATCGCCTCATACACCCCCCCCCCCCCAGCCCCAACTAATCCCCGCCCCCTCTCATACACGCACAAACACTTGAACGAATACACGAACGAGCCTAGTGGCGGATGTTCGTAGCCTCGACACAGATATAATGCTTATTCATCCATTAAATATGACGAAACTGCTCATTCTCTTTGATCTTGTGTGTCGTGTATGAAAGGAAGGAAGGGAGGGAGGAGAAATGTGGAGGGAGGGAAGGGGGAAGGAAAAGAGGGGCCCCAATGATGCTGGACAAGAGCGAGTGAGGGGGGGGTGCGGATGGGAAAATAGGCAGAAAAGGTTTCATAGATAAAATGATGTTAGTTTATGGGAGAGGACTAAAGGCCAAGGACGTGAGGAATTGTAAGTAGGGGAAGGTATGAGGGGAAGGCGAGAAGGGGAAAGGTACTTAGGGAAGAGGAAAAGGGAAGGAGTGAAGGTGTTAAGAGGAAAATTAAATGGGGTGGAGGAATGTAGGGTGTGGTGTCGATAGTTGTGGAAGATGATTCAGGTTTTAGGGATGAGGCAGGTTAAGGCGTGTGGCGCGTAGAGAAGAAAACGGGTTCTAACAGGGAAGGGGTAACTGTACAGAACATGATACGGCCAAACATTTATAAAATGATAATGAATAGATTACCATCAAACTAGACTCACGACATATGGCGCGACCCACGACAATCCCTGGGTCACACCATGGGCGACAACACATGACAATCCTTGGGTCACACCATGAGCACAAAACATTGCACTCTTTAGTATACAAAATGAAGCACCATATGGAGGTAGCTGTACAATTCACCGTCCTTTCAATTACGACATATTCATTAAAATATCCATTGTAAAATAGCAAGATGTTGAGGAGCTCGTCAGATGCAGGTCAGAAACCAAGAATGGAGAGTGCATTTCTCCTCTGTACTGCCACACGGAGGCGCTGGAAAATGCAGCTTTTTATAATGTATTTCATCATGCGCGCCAAGCCTTTACAAGAATTTTCTAAGCCGTGCTCGTGCTTTAGGTGAGGACATCACTACAGATACATAGCCCGATAAGGTTTCCAGCAACGCGCCACTGTGTGTAGGGAGTGACACATAGAGTTTATGGCGGCAACAGAACGCCACAGTCAACCACACTCACCTCCTTGATGCACTTGTGGTTAGCTACTGCCTTCAGCACATCCAAGCCGCTCTCCACTTGCCCGAAGGCCCAGTACCACTCCCTGTTAGCGCAGTCCCTGGTGGTGATGGAGAACTGAGCGCTCTTGGTGCTCTCGGGGCCATGTAGAGCCCTGACCGTGCCAGCTCTTGCCGGCCTCCTGTATGCCTCACAGTTGGTCAGACCCTGCAGCAATGGCGTCCCTCCTTGTCCGTTGTTGCAGTCGTAGTCGCCGCCTCCCACCATCTCGAACTCTGTGCCTTTATTCCAGACTCCCAGTATCCGCGTGTTAGCGTAGGTGGGACCCCGCAGCCCAGTACACATCAGCAGGAACTGCTTGGCCAGACCGGTGTCGGGACTCAGACGAATGTAGATCCGGCCTCTTGCTGAACCCGCCCACCCGATGTCCAAGAACACCAGAGTCGAAGACGGCTCCACCAGATTCATCAGTGTCTCGTGCTGTTAATGTTTACAATTTATAGATTTTCATTAAAAGACTAAATAATTAATCAATATAATAGCAAACCATTATATTTAAATTACAGTAAATCATTCCTACAATTGAAAATAAATATAACTGAGACGTGGACGGTTGCTGCCTTATTTTTATTTCAAGTCATAACGCACAATACAAGCACTGAGACGCAGATAGTAATGTAGCAGTGAAACCAAATTAGTGATATTTACATATTTACATTAATAATGAACCGCATGTGATTACAACCGGATAAGAGAAGTCTGGACTGGTGTTTGTAATATGAGACTAAGTAATCGCCAAGTTAAAGCAATAATACAGAAGTTTATCAGCTGAGTTCGAACCTTTGGAATGGAAGGAATCTTTGGCACCTGTCCTTAGCTCTTCACACAACTGTGACTGGGGATGTGGTTGTGAAATAAAAAATGGCAGACCGTCTTCCATTGAAATCTAATAAGGTAAAGCTTAAGATGAACTAAGAGACAAGAAAGCACTAAGCCTGCTAACAAGTCATAAGTTATCTGCTTCATGCCACGACGAAGGTGGGTAGGATAATTCCAAGCCAAATGTGAGTAGAATAATAACAAGGCAAAGGTGCGTAGACACAGAGATCACACTAACGTGATGCATCAAAGCTCCCGGACGCAGGTTCGAATCCTCGTCACGGCCCTTGTGGATTTGTTCATTTAAAGGTGCGTAGAGTAATTCCAAGAGAAGAACTGTGGATAGAATCATATTTGTGACTCTATGGACTTTCTTATGTTCGCCTTTTAATTTGAAGACACTCATCTTGTGTCTAGTAACTATCTAAGCAAGGAACTATTAAACAAATCTTGCTAAAAGGGGCACTGCGCTGGAGCATTCTTGTGAGGCACGTAAGCTCCTTAAACAGTATTGAAAACTTAAATTTATGCTGTTACAGTAAGGTGCTTAAACTTTGTTGGTAAGTGAAAACGAAGCGTCTTTTAATGAATATGGAAAATAATAGTTTGATAAGTGTTACTGTCACTGTTGATAACAATGACAGCGAAGCTTCTCTTAATGAACATGACAAATAGCAAATATTATTAAAACGTTCAAAAATGGACTGTTGTGCCACAACAAAATTTTAGGTTTTGTTCTTCTGGAATACCACAGACATCACGCCAATAACTGGACAGGTAACTATAGTAGTAATAGTAGGCATACATCAGTCTTAGGAGACTATGGAGTTGCGCTCTGGTTGTCGGTCTGGAGTGGCCTCACCAGGGCGCAAAGCCAGGGTAGGTTAATACGGGGAGAAGTTGTTACCCATGCAGCAGGTCCCGCCTCTCTCCACGGCGCCGATAGTCTCCAATGGAAAGGCAAACACCAATGCAATTGGTTCCAGCGCCATCGCAGGAACTGTCAGAACGAGGCTGAAGGCAACAACGCACTGCCCCTAGGGGCTCCAGCTCCGAGGTTTACCTCGAAGTTAGTAAAAGTAGGCACAGGGACTCCAAACCCGGAGACCGCCGTGGTCGGGGCCGGAGAAGAACCACCCCAGCAAGGGCAAGAACGACCCCAGCCTCCTGAAGCAGGGGCTTGGACCGCACGAGCCCCAGGTGGTGGACGTTGGACGTTGGTTGTATAGTTACCTGACATACGTACAGGTAACTATACAACCTATATAATAGGTTATATAGCCATCTTAAGCCTGATATACGCCATCTTAGACCTAAGGTTTTAGGCTTTGGTTTAGATTTTTGGGGCGCAATAATCTGTTTTTGTACGTTCCTCTTACAAATGCTATGTACTATCGTTCATGGATGACAGATGGCTATGTTTAGTGTGTAAATACAGGAAGGGTTGAGCTAGTATATTCACCCTACAGATATCGTCTCCTACAGAGTGGGTTACCCTAGTTAGACATTTATTCATTTATATATTTATTTTGTGTATCTAAAATGCATCAATATTTTTTATCTTCACAGATATTTATTTAGTTATTTATTAATTTATCTATTTTTAACATCACGAGAATTAGAGGCATTATATTTTAGAAGTTTATGATAGAGCTGATCAGCTGTAACTGCCATGATACTGTGACCTGAAGCAGTGAGGCCAATACCTCGAGGGTGTGGGCGTGAAGCGGCGTGGGCTGGTGCAGGAGGGTGTGAAGGTGGAGGCGACCCTTGTGGAGGGTAATCCTGGAGGAGAGCTGGCGCCCCTGGTCCTGTGGCACCGCCACCACCTTATCCGCCTCTATCAGCGCCTTCACCGTCTCTCCCAGCCGTCTCAGGCTCTCAATCTGGCCAAATGTACGATCACTCCCTTGACAATGTTTTGTGTTTAGAATAAAAAAAATGTATCTCTCCAGTGGGCACGCGTTGGGCAAACGACGTTGATTCAAAGTTGAATCAACGTTAATAACGTTGATTCTACGTTACTCGACTATGTATCCTCCACTGGGTCTCTATTTTGGTCTCGGGAAAGCTGTAACATTGGACCCATAAGTAACAATCGTAGTGTTGTTCTACGGGTAACGGATTTTTGTTAACACAAGTTGCACTCTAAAATTAAATCAAATTAATTATTTCTGCCTCCTATAATACTCTTTTTAGCAATACAGTCATCTAAGGTGGAAACGTTTGGTAATACTTTGAATATGAAATTGAACTTACTGATAAAATCGGCGCCAGCTGGTCCACCTTCTCCATGATGGTGTGGTCGGCGTCTCCCAGGAACACCGGGGCGTCGTCTATGGCGTCAGCGTCCTTTATGGTCTCCAGCGCCCTCTTCGTCACCTCCCGCACCTGTACCAGGGCTTAGTATCATTTTATATAGTTGATTGTTGAATCTTAAACTCCGTTTAGGGATTGGCGGCTTAAGCCACCGGCTAAATAACACACATATACATGGTGCTGTTGGACACGTAGGACTTTACATAAATATCATTTATAGACCTATATGACTTTAAACAAACACCATATATAGGCCTTCATTATTTTATACTAGAAGCATAGGCTTACATTATTCTACGTTAATAATGTACAAACCTTACTGTGCCTTGACTAATGCCACACTAGCATTTCGTTACAAGTTGACCAAACCACACGCTAGAAAGTGAAGGGACGACGACGTTTCGGTCCGTCCTGGACCATTCTCAAGTCGATTGTGATTTGAGAATGGTCCATTCACAATCGACCTGAGAATGGTCCAGGACGGACCGAAACGTCGTCGTCCCTTCACTTTCTAGTGTGTGGTTTTGGTCAACATATTTCAGCCACGTTATTGTGACTCCTCGTCTGCATTTTGTGACAACACTATGCTAGCTAGGGACAGTCGGGCTGTCGTGAATTTTGGCGCTCAGTAGGTCTAGCCTCCCAGTCCTGTCTACCATTTTACAAAATACAAAAAAGGGGCATCTTCCTCAGACCTTGATAGAAATTAAAATTTTCTGGTGTTTAAAGCTTGTTGAGAATTTCAGTACAATATATTAGTAATTTTATACATTTTTGGTATAAAATGTGCAGACTGCAATTGTTTAACCATCATGGCAACTGATTATTACGAAACTTGACGAAGACGTTACCTTGAGGGAAGTGTGAATGGTGTTGACATCTGGGAAGATTTTCTGGCAGTTCTGGATCCAGTCTTCAACCTCAGCGTTGTAGCGCTCGCTGTCATCGAGGGCTGTGGCAGCCTCGGCGGCGGAGTGGACTCCTGCCAGGCTCCCCTGTGTCCCCTCCAGTCGCGCCACACCTTCCTCGCCCTTCTTCCTCTGATACAGCAAGATGCTCAGCTCGTCCTCCAGGAGTTTCAACGCTCCTTTGTTTCGCTCTACTAAGTCACTTAGCTTGGCGAGCAGTTCCTCGTGTTGGTTCTTCCAGTCCCGCAGCTGCACCTCGTACCTCTTCAGCTGCGACAGCGTCTCCTGAAACCCACTGAGAAGCTGGCTGACGCTGTCTTCCTTCTCCTGTATCAAAGATCGTCGTTCGTTAGGTTTTGACGATGGTAATACCGTCAGCTGCAAGACTTTTAGTTTACGTATGACGGCCTCCATGTCGTAGCTGATGGGGAAGTGGGTGGCAGAGGTGGCCTTGTGGTCGACGCGACAGGTGGGGCAAGAGAGACGCTGCAGCTTGATCATGCCCGCCACACACAGTGTGCAGAAGGTGTGGCCGCAGGGCAAGGTGCGCGGCCGCCGCTTGGCTTTATCATAGTTGGTGATGCACACTTTGCACTCCTCGGGGTTATCGTTTTCCTGTTGACCACAGTGATTATTTTGACTTTACGGAGTTAAAAGTAAACAATAGTTTTAATGATCGTAACTGCTTGATTATAATGTGTACATTGATCATCCAATAAGCTGATGTTTTGTATCTCATACAGTTTTTTGTTATTATCTCATAAATACAAACAGGAATATTACCATTATGGTGATGGGCGAGCGTGGAGCATAGTCTTGGGGTGTAGTTGGTGTCGGGGGGCGGCCAGTCCGTCGAGGCCCGCGGCAGCCCCTGTCAACAGGATATACCATTAGCTGATCATTTACTGCGTCCTTGACACGAGGTGATCCAGTGCACAATAATCGTGATTGGAAATGGGGAGGAATGGTCAAATCGTACTAAAGAATGGTCGACAAAAGTAATTTTCTTATTGTCAACCCCGTTTATATCGTGAGGTTAGGATATATTAGGTTAGTTTCGGTAAGATTAGATGGATTTTAAGAGCCATTGGTGAACCGTCTTGTGTACGCGGGGAGTTGTGTACCTAGAAATCTAGTATATCAAAGTATCTTAGTTCTGATTAGTTGAAAAGCTTGAGCTGATGCCAACTTTACATATATTATTACACTAGAAGACCCTTACAAGTTTTAATATTAATACAAACCAAATAGGAACCTTAATGGTCAGAAGCATATCCATGGATTATTACAACTCAACACAAGTTTGCAAGTCTTACCTCACAAGCCGTGCTGTGTTAATGGTATTAGTACATTGTATACCAGCCTGTTCTCTGGATTCGTCATAACGTATAAAATCCACTGTTCTAACCTAACCAGAAACACACGAATTCAAGCCACCCGCCTAACCTAACCAACAGATGCATAGAGAACTAGGATTTGTGTGAGCCGCTGCTTGTCATTGCACGTTGTATTTGGTACGTTGGTTACCATAACGTGGGATTAGTTGAGAGTATGGGTTGTATACACAACTCACACTTAAACCAATGAGCAGGTGTATTATTTCATTAACAAACAGAACGTAGTTCATACGACAAAAAAATAATTACTAATCTGTTCACGGCAAAATGTTAAATATCAGTGAAGGTGAGTGTAGGCTTATACCACAGGGGTGCGAGGCTGGCAGGTGTGTAGGCCTAACTCACGTGGTGAAAGGCTGGCAGGTGTGCTGGCTTAACACGTGTAGTGGGAGGCACAGATATATTTTTAAACACAGGTGAATGATTGTAACAGGTAGTGGGAGGCTGGCAGGTGTGTAACACAGGTAGAGAGAGAGAGACAGGTATGTGTGTAATACGGGGGGAGAGAGGCTGGCAGGTATGTAACACAGGTAGAGAAAAGACAGGTATGTGTGTAATACGGGTGGAGAGATGCTGGCAGGTATGTAACACAGGTAGGTAGAGAGACAGGTATGTGTGTAATACGGGGGGAGAGAGGCTGGCAGGTATGTAACACAGGTAGAGAAAAGACAGGTATGTGTGTAATACGGGGGGAGAGAGGCTGGCAGGTATATAACACAGGTAGGTAGAGAGACAGGTATATGTGTGTAACACGGGTGGCGTGAGGCTAGCAGGTATATAACACAGGTAGGTAGAGAGACAGGTATGTGTGTAATACGGGGGGAGAGAGGCTGGCAGGTATGTAACACAGGTAGAGAAAAGACAGGTATGTGTGTAATACGGGGGGAGAGAGGCTGGCAGGTATATAACACAGGTAGGTAGAGAGACAGGTATATGTGTGTAACACGGGTGGCGAGAGGCTAGCAGGTATATAACACAGGTAGGTAGAGAGACAGGTATATGTGTGTAACACGGGTGGCGAGAGGCTAGCAGGTATATAACACAGGTAGGTAGAGAGACAGGTATATGTGTGTAACACGGGTGGCGAGAGGCTAGCAGGTATATAACACAGGTAGGTAGAGAGACAGGTATATGTGTGTAACACGGGTGGCGAGAGGCTAGCAGGTATATAACACAGGTAGGTAGAGAGACAGGTATATGTGTGTAACACGGGTGGCGAGAGGCTAGCAGGTATATAACACAGGTAGGTAGAGAGACAGGTATATGTGTGTAACACGGGTGGCGTGAGGCTGGCAGGTATATAACACAGGTAGGTAGAGAGACAGGTATGTGTGTGTAACACGGGTGGCGAGAGGCTAGCAGGTATATAACACAGGTAGGTAGAGAGACAGGTATATGTGTGTAACACGGGTGGCGTGAGGCTGGCAGGTATATAACACAGGTAGGTAGAGAGACAGGTATGTGTGTGTAACACGGGCGGCGTGAGGCTGGCAGGTGTACCAACTTCTATAACCGTCGAGGACATAGCTTGGCGCCACTCATACATGCACTGATCTTGAGAGGGCGGAGGAAGTCCCATATATTCCCGCGAGCCTCGCCGTACACACACGTCCATGTAGCAATACCAGATTCATCACTACAGTATCCCAGAGACGGCACTGCATTAATTGACCTCTCCATCACCTTTGTTGCAGCAGGGGGGAACCCGGACGTAAGCCCGCTTGGCACCGCTGGCAGCAACAAGCGTCGCAATGGCACTGTGGCTCTGGCACAACAGCATGTGGCTCTGGCACTACAGCATGTGGCTACGGGCTCGTTACGTCATCTACTCCAAGTTAAATTTGTTCTGGTTTCTCTCTTACACGCTATATAGAAGGCCTGGCGCATTCCCCTCTTGATAGTTCCTTCCTTCTTACACGCTAATCTTTGCGCTGCTTGTGATTGTGATTGTGTTAGGCAGGAAACTTTGCTATTTGTGGAGGGAATGTTGCCCGTCAGTTTAGAGACTCTCAATACTACCCTGCTAGAGGTAGAGCATGTCTAGCAGGGTAGTACTAGAGGGAGCATGTCGCTATGAGGTTGACATAACTACACAAATACAGGGTGTTACGGGAGTAATGGAGAGAGATGAGAGGTGATTATGTTAATATTTTTTATATATTTATAAATTTGTCGGTGGATGAAATAGCTATACAGCTAAGATGTGAAGTGCACATCTTAGCATAGTCTAATATGTGATAGTAGATTGTGTATACTCTGCATCTTAGATAGATGCAGAGTATACACAATTAACATGCAGTTAGAATAAAAAACACTTTATATACACATACATACATGACTTATTTATGGCTAATGTATAAATCGATGACAAGTGATACTCAAGAATGACTAACTTTAGTGAAAGTTGTTAGTTTACTCGTTCTATTATTCATGATAAAAAATTGTGCCTATTAATACAATTCTCTTCAACAGATATTTTATTTAAATACAATAAAATAGAGTCATGAATGTATAGTAGATATAACGAATAAATAATCCAATTCTTCCTTTCATATATAGACTCATTCATGACTAGCCAATCACAATTACCAATAGAGATTTTGCTAAATACGTTTAATTAGTGAAAATTTATATTACAATAAATGTCGGCTGCATCGTTACCGCAGTCAATGTAACTATTAACCCAGCCATACAAGGGGGAGGACTATTAACCCAGCCATACAAGGGGGAGGACTATTAACCCAGCCATACAAGAGGGAGGACTATTAACCCAGCCATACAAGGGGGAGGACTATTAACCCAGCCATACAGGAGGGAGGACTATTAACCCAGCCATACAGGAGGGAGAACTATTAACCCAGCCATACAGGATGGAGGACTATTAACCTAGCCATACAGGAGGGTGAAGTATTAACCCAGCCATACAGGAGGGAGGACTATTAACCCAGCCATACAAGAGGGAGGACTATTAACCCAGCCATACAGGAGGGAGGACTATTAACCCAGCCATACAGGAGGGAGTACTATTAACCCAGCCATACAGGAGGGAGGACTATTAATCCAGCCATACAAGGGGGAGGACTATTAACCCAGCCATACAGGAGGGAGAACTATTAACCCAGCCATACAGGAGGGAGGACTATTAACCCAGCCATACAGGAGGGAGGACTATTAAACCAGCCATACAAGGGGGAGGACTATTAACCCAGCCATACAGGAGGGAGAACTATTAACCCAGCCATACAGGAGGGAGGACTATTAACCCAGCCATACAGGAGGGAGGACTATTAACCCAGCCATACAGGAGGGAGGACTATTAACCCAGCCATACAAGGGGGAGGACTATTAACCCAGCCATACAGAAGGGAGAACTATTAACCCAGCCATACAAGAGGGAGAACTATTAACCCAGCCATACAGGAGGGAGGACTATTAACCCAGCCATACAGGAGGGAGGACTATTAACCCAGCCATACAGGAGGGAGGACTATTAACCCAGCCATACAGGAGGGAGGACTATTAACCCAGCCATACAGGAGGGAGAACTATTAACCCAGCCATACAGGAGGGAGGACTATTAACCCAGCCATACAGGAGGGAGGACTATTAAACCAGCCATACAAGGGGGAGGACTATTAACCCAGCCATACAGGAGGGAGAACTATTAACCCAGCCATACAGGAGGGAGGACTATTAACCCAGCCATACAGGAGGGAGGACTATTAACCCAGCCATACAGGAGGGAGGACTATTAACCCAGCCATACAAGGGGGAGGACTATTAACCCAGCCATACAGAAGGGAGAACTATTAACCCAGCCATACAGGAGGGAGAACTATTAACCCAGCCATACAGGAGGGAGGACTATTAACCCAGCCATACAGGAGGGAGGACTATTAACCCAGCCATACAGGAGGGAGGACTATTAACCCAGCCATACAGGAGGGAGGACTATTAACCCAGCCATACAGGAGGGAGTACTATTAACCCAGCCATACAGAAGGGAGAACTATTAACCCAGCCATACAGAAGGGAGAACTATTAACCCAGCCATACAGGAGGGAGAACTATTAACCCAGCCATACAGGAGGGAGTACTATTAACCCAGCCATACAGGAGGGAGAACCATTAACCCAGCCATACAGGTTGGAGGACTATTAACCCAGCCATACAGGAGGGAGGACTATTAACCCAGCCATACAGGAGGGAGGACTATTAACCCAGCCATACAGGAGAGAGTACTATTAACCCAGCCATACAGGAGGGAGGACTATTAACCCAGCCATACAGGCGGAAGGACTATTAACCCAGCCATACAGGAGAGAGTACTATTAACCCAACCATACAGGAGGGAGGACTATTAACCCAGCCATACAGGAGAGAGTACTATTAACCCAGCCATACAGGAGGGAGGACTATTAACCCAGCCATACAGGAGGGAGGACTATTAACCCAGCCATACAGGAGAGAGTACTATTAACCCAGCCATACAGGAGAGAGTACTATTAACCCAGCCATACAGGAGAGAGTACTATTAACCCAGCCATACAGGAGGGAGGACTATTAACCCAGCCATACAGGAGGGAGTACTATTAACCCAGCCATACAGGAGGGAGGACTATTAACCCAGCCATACAGGAGAGAGTACTATTAACCCAGTCATACAGGAGGGAGGACTATTAACCCAGCCATACAGGAGAGAGTACTATTAACCGAGCCATACAGGAGAGAGTACTATTAACCCAGCCACGGCACGGCAACACGGCAACCCTCGTGGCTGCCGAAAGAAGAAGGGATCCAGCGTTAAAAGGAAAAAAAAAATCCTTAACAACATGAAACAATTAATTACATAATAGTAGATAGTATGGTTGGAAGAACTATTTGCTAAGTATATATCGGCTATACGACTGATGCGAGATTGAACTATTCGCACAAGCCCTACTTTACTTGGCTTTTAACCTTCAAATAGCCCAGCGATATGGTTAGATCCGTTTTTAAGTAATTTACCGGATGAAGCTCTTGGGTCGGTGTGTTCCATTTACCAGCTTAGTATGTTACAGCTGGCGTGTTGATGGAGAGCTTGGGGTGGCATCGGAGGATGGCCACAGCACGCTGTCCACACTCCTGGGGAGCGTCTGAGGTGCTAATCCGGAGGACTACCACACCACAACTGCCGCCGACCAGACGCCTTGCTCCGAGGTCAACATGAGTTTAAGGAGCGTGGTCAGTATGGCCGCAATTAGCAATTGCGACGTTTAAAGATTTGAAGCATTAGGTCAAGTAATAATAATAGTCGTACTAAGGTAATGACTTCAAATATTATTTCAAATCCTTCCAACCTTTATTTGTATTAAAAGGTGGTTATATCTTGAGGTTATCTTGAGATGATTTCGGGGCTTTTTATTTTTTCAGTGTCCCCGCGGCCCGGTCCTCGACCAGGCCTCCACCCCCAGGAAGCAGCCCGTGACAGCTGACTAACACCCAGGTACCTATTTTACTGCTAGGTAACAGGGGCATAGGGTGAAAGAAACTCTGCCCATTGTTTCTCGCCGGCGCCTGGGATCGAACCCAGGACCACAGGATCACAAATCCAGCGTGCTGTCCGCTCGGCCGACCGGCTCCCGGTGAGAGACAGATTTTCTATACAGGGTGATAGAAGTCCAGTTGTGCTCACTGTAGTGTGGGGAGGGTCAGTACATGTTCAAGTGGGAGCTGTGGTGCTCACTGGAGCGTATATGGAGCATTCTGAGAGACGCGTCCTTCTTCACAGCAAAACATAAGGCACTGTACACGTACGAAGATGACCTGGTACAGGTACATGGATGACATAATACAAATACGACATTTTGCTTGGGTGAAATTTGGTGTAGTGAATAGAAATTCCCAAGCATGAGAAGCTTTTAGCACTAGGAGCCGGGCTTTAATCATCTGAGGGGCATTTCCAAGCATTATTGAGGTAATCTTTTCCATTATGTGACTATCCCATTAAATTTTTGTTATATATTTAGGATGAAATAGGAGGTGAAGGGTATACAGTAGTATGTCACTGACTGGCTCCTTCAGTCAACTCCCAAGAGTGCCCTCTGGAGAGGATCTTCTCTACAAATTCGCTGGCAATACTGCACGACAATAATACAATACTCACAATCGACTTGAGAATGGTCCAGGACGGACCGAAACGTCGTCGTCCCTTCAATTTCTAGTGTGTGGTCTGGTCATCATCAAAAATACTGGTAGTGCACTTCTGTTGCTGTGCCTGTGTATTGTGTAGCTCCCCCCCCCCACCCCCCCTGAAGACTGACCGGTGGTGTTGCTTCGTTCTGTGGCAGGTTGAAGTGTCTTTCTATACATATATATATATATATATATATATATATATATATATATATATATATATATATATATATATATATATATATATATATATATATATAATCAAGGTGCTCGGTGTATTAACTTGTGTGCTGCTGAAGGTAGGCGAGTATTCTCTCCCACACCAAGAACACTCTGTCCACGCCAAGAATACTATCCCCA